GGTCCCACACAATGTTGGGAAGTTAAAGCGACTGATAACCCCACTTTAACGAAGTTATTACGCTTCAAAAAGTTAAACTTTAGGGTCCAAAAAGTAAACTTGCAGAAAAGAGAAGAAAAAAAGGTGATATAAGCTTAGGAAATAAAAACCAGTCCCTGAATTACAGAGGATGATTAAATAAAACTAAGTGCAGCTTTTAAAGCTGATTCTTTGACAGCCTTAAAAAATACATATAAAATAACCAGCGGCCTTGTCTACCTTATCGCAATCTTATCTACTCAAACTTTAAGCAAACAAGAAAGCAAGAAAACTTATATAACCTTTAAATACCTTTGCACAATGAGACTAGATCGATTTTCTGATCAATTTTTCGATTCTACCTTTTGAATCTGTAATATTGATTTTTCCGAAATCGGATGTCTGTACGAAAAGTTAAGAGCTTAGAAGTTCAGTTTTTTGCCGTTTTCTGCAAAGCCATTTTTCGAAAATTTGGAAAGGGATTTCATCATTGAAAATGACGAAAAATCGACCCAAAAATAAAAACTAAACTGAAAACACAGTTTTTTTACAGAATTAAACGATCATTTAGAAGAATGCCACTTTGGAATCGGAAGTCTGTACGAAAAGTTATGAGCTTTGCAGTTCAGTTTTTTTGCACTTTTCTGGAAAGCCATTTTTCCAAAATTTGGAAAGGGGTGGAAAGGGTCATCATTGAAAATGATGAAAAATCGACCCAAAAATAAAAACTAAACTGAAAACACAGTTTTTTAGAGAATTAAACCACGATCATTTAGAAGTATGCCACTTTGAAATCGGAGGTCTGTACGAAAAGTTATAAGCTTAGGAACTCAGTTTTTTTTGCCGTTTTCTGCAAAATGTAGAAAAATCGAAGCCATATTTCAAATCAAGATAAAAACAGATGTTTTTGGAGAATTTAACCACAATCATTTTGAAATATGCCACTTCTAAATGAAAAAGGCTCTGTTGAAATGATGAAGAGTTGTGCCTTCACTAGTTGCAAAAGTGCTTTAAAGCAAGCGATTAGCAAACAACTGATGTTAACTTAATTTTGCTGGGAAAATGCTACGTTTCGCCTTTTTCGCCAACAACTAAGCGCCCTTTGGAAATATAGTTGGAGTTGCCAGGAGCAACGGTGGAGCCCTCTCAACAGATACTGCCACAAAGCATATGTGCCCCAGCTAGTATTAGTGGAGTGCCCTCAAATTATACCCCAACAAATTATACGTCGAACGAAATTTAAAATTTGAATTCATTGTTATTCCAAAATTCATAGAATAATATGTGTTTCCCCAAGAAAAAAGATTAAAATAATGCATAAAATCCCATTTTAAATATTGATTTGGTAAAAACAAAACAGCATAATGATTGCATTAAATTTTATGCAGTGCAGAGGTAGTTGGTCCAAAGAGCTGCTGGAATACTAATGCTGGCAATCTGTTTGGTTGTGGGTGGTAGTGGGTGGCAGTGGGAGGCAGTGGGTGGCAGTGGGTGGCAGTGGGTGGCAGTGGGTGGCAGTGGGTGGCAGTGGGAGGCAGTGGGTGGTTGTGGGTGGTGGCTGTATGGGTGGCTGCAAGTTGTGTGCTTGTAGGGCCAAATATTTCTATTATTAATGTCTGTTTATCTGCATGCGACGATGTCAGCTGCCCCATCCCCATTTGCCACCCACTATGTCCCCCTTTTCTCCCACTGTTCGTATATTTATATATATATATATACCCCCGATCTGTGTGGGTTTGTTTACGCTGCTTTATGGCCTTCGATTAATTTTGCGCGTAAATGGCGGAGAAGTGAAGAGTTTCCTCTGGCAATTTGTTGCTGTTATCTGCGGGGCTATATTTAAACATAGTTTATTAGTTGTTGTTGCTGGAGCGATTAAAAACGTGGCTGTCTCCCCAATCCCCTCACCATGCAAAAATATTGCAGACATTTCGTTTGAAGATGGCCAAAAACGAGAGCGAAAAATTAGCACATTCCGTCAAGGGAATTATTGTGAATAGCTGTGATAACTCATGTATCATGTTATCAGCTCAATAATCTGCTCAGCTTAGCTAAAAACAATGTTTTGTTGATATAAATATTTTAGAAAGAATTGTTCCAGATTCAACTACATTATAAATTTGAATCATACTTTATTATACCCTTGCAGAGGGTATTATAATTTTGGTCAAAAGTGTGCAACGCAGTGAAGGAGACATCTCCGACCCTATAAAGTATATATATTCTTGATCAGGATCACCTCCTGAGTTGATATAGCCATGTCCGTCTGTCCGTCTGTCCGTCTGTCCGTCTGTCCGTCTGTCTGTCCGTCTGTCCGTCTGTCCGTCTGTCCGTCTGTCTGTTTCTACGCAAACTAGTCTCTCAGTTTTAAAGCTATCGGATTGAAACTTTGCACACACCCTTCTTTCCTTTGCACGCAGTATATAAGTCGGACCGGCCGGGATCGGCCGACTATATCCTATAGCTGCCATATAACTGATTGATCGGAAATGCCATAACTTTCGTGTTTGTAAAGTTAGGAAGTTGGGATTTTCTATGGGTTTTATATTTGGCCAATCAATCCGACCTACCAAATTTCATAAGGATCGGCCGACTATATCCTATAGCTGCCATATAACTGATTGATCGGAAATGCCATAACTTTGGTGTTTGTAAAGTTCGAAAGTTGGGATTTTCTATGGGTTTTATATTTGGCCAATCAATCCGACCTACCAAATTTCATAGGGATCGGCCGACTATATCCTATAGCTGCCATATAACTGATTGATCGGAAATGCCATAACTTTGGTGTTTGTAAAGTTAGAAAGTTGGGATTTTCTATGGGTTTTATATTTGGCCAATCAATCCGACCCACCAATCTTCATAAGGATCGGCCGACTATATCCTATAGCTGCCATATAACTGATTGATCGGAAATGCCATAACTTTGGTGTTTGTTAAGTTAGGAAGTTGGGATTTTCTATGGATTTTATTTTTGGCCAATCAATCCGACCTACCAAATTTCATACGGATCGGCCGACTATATCCTATAGCTGCCATATAACTGATTGATCGGAAATGCCATAACTTTGGTGTTTGTAAAGTTAGGAAGTTGGGATTTTCTATGGATTTTATTTTTGGCCAATCAATCCGACCTATCAAATTTCATAAGGATCGGCCGACTATATCCTATAGCTGCCATATAACTGAACGATTGGAAATGCCATAACTTTGTTGTTGTTAAAGTTAGGAAGTTCGGATTTTTTATGAGTATTAAGAATGCATCATATGAATAATTTTGGAGAATATAATTTACAGAGTATTCTGCAAGGGTATATCAACTTCGGCTCCGCCCGAAGTTAGCTTTCCTTTCTTGTTTTTTTGATAAATTAAAACATGAATGTGACAAACTAACCACAAATTTAATGAAATATTTCTTAAATAATTCATCACATGTGAAGTTAGATATCAATAGAGTCATGCAGTTTTGGTTACATAAAGAGCTTTCTGAAGATTAAAAACACATCACTGCTGGTAGACTTATCTTGAATGAGCCTTTTTGATTAGTCACTTAAGTTTTTTGAATGACTTTAATACCTCATACCTGAAAATGACCTCACCCTTCACTGTTTCTATTTTGTGCTGATGCACTTCGATTTTATTGAGGAAAGTCTACCCATATAAAGAAGTGTTGATTGTAAATCTTCCGAAAGAGCTTTGCCGGCACTACGATTTTCGCAGTTAATTGCCAACGCTTTGTTCATTTGCGTTTTTTGTTAGTCGGAAATAAGATTCCCTAATTATTACTGCATTTGTAACTGCCAGCAGTTTTGCAAAAAAAAAACCAGGTGGCTTCCACAGATAGTGTAAATTTAAAAACAAACATGAAAGGGAAATCGGTCGAGTGTGGCGATCAAATGTTTGCCCACATTCGCATTCGTGTTTAGGCGCAAATTGTTTAGATAGTGAGGCACCCCGTTCCCAGATTAGGCGTTCTTGATAAACACTGCCAATAAACCCAGTCCGCGAATAAACAAACAAAAACATTGCAAAAATTTAAGATTTGCGTAGACATGTGTTTATACGTACACACATGGAGAAAAACCTTCGTGTAACCAACTTTGAATCTTGTATTATCATATAATTTAAGGTACATTTTTTTTTAAATTTCGGAAATTCTAAGAAGTATATTTTAACATCTTAGATTAGATTAATTTTCCGAAGTATATGTGGAGTATTTTATTTTAAATATTTTAAATATAACCGTTTAAGTCTTAACTTTGAATCTTGTATTATCATATGATTTTGGTGTTTTAGTGTTTTATTTGTTAACGCCTATGGGTTTTTGAAAATCCCCAATTTGAGCTAGAAAGCTCAACAAATATATGAATATACCCTAAAACTATTGTCATTTATAGTTTTTTCAGAGCTTACATTAAAATACCCAAGACGTGTACAAATCACATAATTTAAAGTACAATTTTTTTGTTTAATTGAAAAAAATGTAAGAATCATATTTTAAGAACTGATTAATGTTTTAAGTATAACCGTTAAAGATTCCCTCACCTATTTAATTTATACAAAATATGTGGTTTCTACTAGAAACTTTCTAGTAAGCTTTACAGCGGACCTACTATGAAATTTTATATTTCTCGACATTTATTAGTTTGTTGTTAGATTTTCTCGCAGTGTTGCTGTTCGCACATATGAATGCTTGAGCTTTTCGCCATAGAAGTGCGAATCGCGGTTATCTAATGAGTCGATAATGGGGAGAGTGGCGGCGGCGGAGCAAGTGCATCGGCTGGCGGCATGTTCTGGGAGCTTTTCTGCGTTCCGTGGAACCTGGAGGCGACTGGGACTGGCCGACGTGACCGGCGGCACATCGGCCACGTCCGAGGGGAAAGCTTCCCGCGGGTTCTGGCGCTGCCTTCGATTCTGATTCTGATTCTGGGAGTGCTACTCCATAGTGTGTATAAAAGGCCCCATGCAGGGCGTGCGTCCCGCGCATTCTGCAAACAGCTCTGTCCGCGTTCGCTTCGCATCCGCTTTTCCGTAGTCCCCTGATTCAGCGCTTTCCCGCTTCTCCGCTTTCCCGCTTCTTCGATTTCCCCCACTTCCCGAGTGAAAACAGCATGTGGTCGAAAGTTGGCATCGCCGGAGCCCTGCTCGTAATGGGCGGCATACTGTCCTCCAGCGTGGTGGACAACTTCGCCTACGTGGACCGCTCGCTGCCGGTGGCCATGCCCAAGGCCAAGGCCTTTGCTCCGAAGGAGTGAGGATCCAGGGAGCCAGGGAGCCAGGGATGCTGGGATCCTGGGCGGTGGATCCCGGATGTCAGCCGATTAACCAGTTCCTGCAACAGGAACCAGTGCTTTGTACTCGGCGGAAGGGAGGCCACTGTGGATATTTATTGGCCAGCCAGCTACTCCGGCTTGTCGTTAATTAACAAGTTCACCGCAAGCGGGAAGTAGTTAATGTAGGCCCTAAAGCCACTCCCGCAAACCCCCCTCATTCCCTCCCCCCGTGCCTAGAAGAACAACTGTTATGTTTGTGCAATTAACTTTATTTTATAAACTTTTTTGTAACAGTTTTTTTTTCTCCCTTTTTATACCCGTTACTCGTAGAGTAAAAGGGTATATTGTATTCGTGCAAAAGTATGTAACAGCTAGAAGGAAGCGTTTCCGACCCTATAAAGTATATATATTCTTGATCAGGGTCACTAGCCGAGTCGATCTAGCCATGTCCGTCTGTCCGTCTGTCTGTCCGTCTGTCCGTCTGTCCGTCTGTCTGTCCGTCTGTCTGTCCGTATGAACGCTGAGATCTTGGAAACTATAAAAGCTAGAAGATTGACATTTTGCATGCAGATTCTAGGAGTTCCTACGCAGCGCAAGTTTGTTTCAAAAAGGTGCCACGCCCCCTTTACGCCCACAATCGCTTATATACAATTTTAAAAATTTAAATATTTCGAAAAAGTAAAAATGCAGTTTTATTGTGTTTATCAATACCTATCGAAATGTAGAAGAAATTTTTCAAATCGGACCATTCGTTAAAAAATTATGCGTGATCAAAGTTTCTCTCTCCATCTCCCTCGCACTCCCTTTACCTGAGTAACGGGTATCTGATAGTCGGGGCACCCGACTATAGCGTTCTCTCTTGTTTTTTAATACATTTGTACGAGTAAGCTAAGAAGTTCCTAATACGTAAGCAAAATAAAATATTTAAGCTCTTTTATTTAAATTAGCAGTGTATCTTTATTTAATGTGTGTATGCTTGTGTTTTTCCTGTTTTCATTCGGTTTTATATGGTCTTCAAACGAGTCGCAATTATCGGAGTTAATAATGAAGTATTGACCTCGGTCGGCAATTAGTGTCAAAAAGATTACACTAGACCACGAAAACAAACCATTTTATTTGGTGGGCTTATCAAAGGTAATTAGCATTGCTATTTTTATTGCACATGTATGCACATGGACATCTCAAATTATCGTTAGCTATATTTAACACGGTATGTTGAGCTTAACGGAAAAATTTTGAAAATGGCAAAATAATATTGTTATTACAATTGCAGTCAAAAGATTGCAACGCAGTAAAGTATAGTATATATATTCTTGATCAGCACAGCCGGCTAATCTCTCAAATTTGTTTACTTGAATTTCCCAAACTAATTACTAAAAAGTTGGAATTTTAATTATATTTTCCACTGTATTTTCAATTAATGAAACAATCAACTTTAATTATCCAATCAATCACATTCATTGTGCTTTTTTTATTTTAAATATTTATTATAATTTACATTATTTAATTGAAATATGTACTCGTAAAAATATATTTAATGCCTGGCCTAAGTATTCTCACTTTTCTACTCAAGCTAATTTCTCAAATTGATTTATTTGAATTTAACAAACTAATTACTAATAAGTTGAAGTTTTAATTATATTTTCCACCGTATTTTCAGTTAATGAAACAATCAACTTCAATTATTCCATCAATCACATTCATTGTGATTTTTTTTTATTTTAAAAATATATTATAAGTTACATTATTCATTTGAAATATATACTCGTAAAAATAAATATTATTCCTAGGCTAAGTAATCTCCTTCTTCTCATCTTTGTCTTTATTTTTGTCCTGGGCCAACTTGAGTGCCTGGAGATTCCTTTCCGCCTCCGCCGCCTCAGCCGCCCTTTTGGCCTTGGCCCTCTGGTTCTGCAGCGTGTTGAGCAGCTTCATCTGCGACTTGTGCTTGAGGATCGAGGGCAGTGCGAACCCGGTGGTCATGGGTGGGGTCATGGGTGGCGGAACGACGGGGGGTGGCATTGCAGGGGGTGGAACTGCAGGGGGTGGAACTGCAGGCGGCGGAACTGCAGGGGGCACCTCCTTCGCAAGGCTGCCACCAGCTGGGGCAATATCGACGGTAGTGGCGGTGGGTGTGGCAGGAGGAGGAGGAGGAGGCGCCACAAAGGACGACACGGGAGGAGCGCGCGAAACAATGGGAGCCCGTGGCGGTCTAACCGTGGGTATCTTGAAGAGCGAGGCTGGAGTCTTGAAGACCGGACGCTGATTGAGCTGCTGCACCTGCTGGCTGGCCCCAGATCCTGGCAAGAATTGCGACCTGGGGGCGGGGCAGGACTTCGGGGCCGAGGAGGCCATCTGCGCCATATAGGTGGCCCCGAACGAGACCAGCTGCTGGGCGGTGAAGAACATCTGCCGCTGGTTGCCATTGGCCTCGCGGAGCACGGCCTGGAACCGCAGCGATCCCGGGGTGTTCAGCTGCATGATGGCCACATTGGGGCCGAAGAGCTGCAGGTTCTGGCGCACCTGGGCCTGGCTGATCACCGGCGCCGACTGGGTGGTGGCCGTGACCACCGATCCGCTGACGGGGATCGGGACCGCCTCCTGTTTGGGCTCCACTTTGGGCGGCGCATCCTGGAGCAGATCCCTGGGCAGCACCCACGGCTGATGGGCCGGCTGCACAATGACCTTGGGGTATATCTCGTTCTCCAGCGGATTGATGCAGTGCTCCAGGAAGTTCGGTGGCGGCGGCAGCGGAGGTGGCGTCTCCGCCCGACGACCGCGCTTCGTGGCCCTTGGCCTGGGCGTGGTGGCCCTCCGGCCACGCCTCCGCCCCCGGGTGCCCTTGCTGGGGGCGGACTCATCCGAGGACGACGGCTGGGTGGGCTCGGTGTAGAGCAGGGTGGGATTGCTGCCCCACAGGATTGCCTGCTGCGGGATCTGCTGCATGTGCGACGGGATGAACATGATCTGGTGCTGCGGACGCACTGCCTCGCTGTTCACGAAGATCACCTGACTGGGAGCCACCGAGTGCACGGGCGGCACATACAGATCCACCAGCTCGATGATCGTGTTCGGCTGCTCCACCATCACCACCGAAGTGGGCACATCTTCGATGGTTTCGGTGGCATTGGTAGTTTCGGTGGTGCCCGTATCCACTCCATTTTGAACGTTCTCTTCGTTTTCCTGGGCCATGGAATCCATGGGGGTTTGTCCAGGATTGACCACCGTTTCCTCGGACATGGCTTCCATTGGGGCAACCGGATTATCCTTCGCTTCTGGCAACTCAACCTCCATTGGAACCACTGTGTTCTCCTTCTTCTCCTTTTCCCAGACCATTTCATCCGGTGCGGGAAGTGGATTTCCCTCCTTTTCCTGGGGCGTGGCATCCATTGGGGTAACTGGGTTTTCCTCCGTTTCCTGGGACATGGTTTTCCCAATTTGGGTGGCGCCTAGAAATGAGACGAGTTCAGTTTTTGCGAACAGTTAGGGGAAATCCCGCCCTGCAGCACCACATATTAATTTGCATTTGGTTCAAGCCTCATTTGCTTTTATTCCTGCTGACTCTTCAACTCTACCCACTTCCAAAATCATTTTCCCCGCCCCCCTTTCCCTGCTGGTCAGTCAACAAAAATACATGGGAAAAAAATTGTACTTCGTAAATATAACAAATTCAGATGTTTGTATAGCACCACATGGCTTACTCCTTAGATATTGATTTATTTTAATTTTTAGGAAACTTTAGTATATTGTGTTTAACTGCTAGACCAATAAAAGGAATTAGTTAAAAAAGGAACTCGAATTTTTATCAGTGCACACACACAATCCCTGCTCCTCCCCCACAAACACAAAAAATGACTGGCAAGCCGCAAATACTTTGTCAGGCTCAAGTTGACAGTCGTCCTGGATCCCGAGTCCTGGTTTTGTTCCTGGCGCCATAGGCTCGTTCTGCCCCCTCCACCCCCTAACCCTCCCTCCCTCCCCTTGCCCATGTACCCCACGCATTTGACACTTTTTTGCGGGGAGCCATATGCCGGGGATTCCCCGCCCATCTTCTTGTGTGTGTGTGTGTGTGTGTGTCAGTGTCTGTGTGCAAAGGCATTTGGCTGAACAGATTGTTGAAGATTTGATTTCGGGCAGAGAGCTTTGCCACTGGACGCCGCCCTGCCCCCTGCCCCCCGTTCACCCATCAGCCAACACCCAACACCCAACGCCCATCAGCCAGAACAGCCCGCCAGTGGAACAATCGTTAATCTAATGAAAGATGACATTTCATGTGGGCCTGGAGATGTTTATGTCCCAACAACACTTGAGCGGGCTCTGGCATGTGACCACTGGCGTCTCCACCTCCACCTCCACTTCCCCACTACAACCACCATCTCCTCCTCCATCTCCACCTCCTCCTCCACTGAGATGGCTCTTCCACTTGCTCGCATCTCATCCGATTTGCTGGGGGCATTCATCATTCCCCTGCTTTCAGTTTTCGGCTTTCGGAGCTTTGATGAATAAGCGGCTAGTTAAGCAGGGGAACCCATCAGTAAGGCCTGATGTTGGGAGGGGGGATGGGGGATGGAGGAAGCTTGTTGCGATCAAAGGTCAATTTACAAGACTCATTGGCCTGTTCCTTATAGCCGTATATAGCCATATATCAAATTGGGCATTCGTCACTTAATATCCGACACAGTAATTAGAGATATGAATTAATTGGAAGAAGTATGGGGATCTGAAATATTCATGGGCCCAACAGAAAACCCTGAAAGTATGTTGCACTTTATGGTGTTACTATTACTATTTATATACGTTGTTTTTTTTTTTTTTTTTTTTTTAAATTATTTATTTGCGCCGGAATCGTTCAATGCCATTTGAACATAACCGGACGTATGAGGACATATATACATATATAGTATATATTATACTATTTAAACTAAATACAATTATTTACAATTATTTACAAAATTTACAAAATTTTTTTTTGGATTACTGGATGACCCGGGAAGCGAGGTCACTGGGGTGAAATCTCTTCAGCCTTCGAAGAGGTTGCGGATTTATATACGTGCTCAAGGGTTTTATCTCAGCTTCAAATAATATTTTTAAAGTTGGGAAATTAATTATATTATGCGAAGCATATAAACTTGGTAAAAGTTGTTTCTGGCAACTTGTGATATTAAAGACAATGCTGTGTCTAAAGTGAAAAGCCCTTATTCACATTGATCTCATTAAAATATAGTTTCGCATTGACCATTTTCCTGGTGAAAATTTCAGGAGCTGCCACGCCCTTCGCCTTCGACCGCCCAGCACTCAGTGGCCCAATAAAATTTGATTAGTTAAACAGCCTGCAGAACGAAACCGAGAAGGACGAGGAGCTGGACAAATCCTTGGCAGGCCGAGGACCCAAGAAGGACCCGAGAAATATTAGAACTTATGGGGGCCAAAGGGGGGAGGAGGGGGGACATGTGTATTGTGTATTCATGAGGCCAGGCGACGGCGACAGGACATCAGGCAACTTTGGGTTAATTTACATTATAAACTTTGAATATTTTATTGTTTGCCCGGGCTAAGGACACCAGCTGGCTCCTGTCCCTAGATTCTCCTCCTTGGCCTCGTTTATTGACACTTTGGTGGGCCAGCGGGTGTATCCAGTTGAAAGGCTCTGTGGTCACCAGAACGACAGGAATTGGGGGGGGGGGATTGGGGTGGAGGGGTCGAGCTCAGTGACTCTGATTTAATGGCGGCATCAACATTTTTGGGCAAATTATGACGGAGGCAGGACCTCCCAGTCGCTAGGCTACCTACCACGCCCACTTGTCGACCGTCATTAGCATGGCCTTCGCTTGTTAAGCTTTTAAGCATCGGGTTACTAAATAATTAAGCCATTTTCCGTTACCAGCTCGTAAAACAATTCAGCCGCCGATTTCTCCACACAAATTGAGCAGCGGTGTTGGTGATGGAAATACAGGTGGGTATTCGATTGCACGTTGACTCCAAAAATAATAATTGAAATAACTTCGAAATTGATACGCTCATATCGACCAGTTGTCACTCAAAAGTTCACGTTGGTCGTCCACAGTAATTAGTGCATTATTTTTCGGGATTTCAAATCAAAACATAATACGAGACAATACATATATACATAAATTAAATCTATGTGCTTTGTGTTTAAATGCCCAATGCTATTTTAATTCTTGTGTAACAATATCTGTTTTAAAAAGCATAATTTTTGTCTCTAGTTTTTGGAGATTTGTTTTTACTCGCTATTTCTATCAATTGAGTCTAGATTTTAGTTAAGAATCTCTCTGCATAGAAACTTTTCATGTTTATTGAAATTGGAAATACGAAATAAATGGTTTCTTCTTTCAGCAGACAAATCGTTTGGATATGAATTTTTGGAAGCCCCCAATTTGTTTTTTGTATACTGTCAAAGGGGCTAATGACTGTAAAGAGTATTTTGGCCTGCGTTTTGTTTTTTTTTTTTTTTGTAAGCCGCTCTACCGCCTGGATTTCTGGCTATTGAAAACTCTACTTTATGGACTTGGAACGTTTTCCTAAAACCAGCTTATGGGGTCTGATGAAAGTTTTCGCTTTCGCTGCTAATAAGCTACGTGTCGCAGTTGCCTTTTGGGTGGGGGAAAAGGGTGGGGGAAATGGATGGGGGGTGGTTTGGTAGGGTTGTTGGTACAACGCGGCTTTGGACTAATAAAAATATGAGACAGTTTAAGCTGCCGCCGTTTCGTGTCTGCTCTTTGTTGTTGGCCGCTGTTGTTGGGCCACATATGAATAAACTGCCACTAATCCAGCACCCCAAGTCGAATCCCTCACCTGTACATACAAAAAAACCGGGGGATATGAGACTGGCAGAAAAGAAATTAATAATTTATAAATGTTTGCTGGCGCCAAGGATTAAGCAAAGGATTTTCAACGCCTTTTGCTTGGAAGTTATCCTCGGGGAAAACTCCTCAGCGATCTTGGGGATGGGGGAAAACTCATTTAAAGAAATGTTTCTCTTATCACCGTCCTGCCATCGAAATTAGCCAAAGCAAAAAGTGAGGGGGAGAAAATGGAAAAATGGGGTGGGTGGACTGGGGGACGGGTGGAAAAACAAGGACAAAGCGTATGCAGGCAGTGCAATAAATTATAATGCAAATCCGCCTTTGTGATCGCAACAACAACGGCTACAAAATGGGCATTAAATGCCCGCCACTTGACTGCGCCGCACATTTTTTCATTTTTTTTTTTGCTCTGCCGCCTCTTTTTTTTTTCGTCGCCCACTGCCATCCTTGTTGTTCGTCCATTTAAAATGATAAAAATCGCAAACAATTTCTGTGCCCGCAACGAAAAGAAAAAAAAAGGGGGCTTCGGAGGGTTAACCGCGGCTTGTGGGGCACTGCGGGGAAAGCGGGAGGGGGAAACTGAAACTTTTCACTCACCAATCAAACGGCAACTGGAAAAATATACGCGAAACTCAACGCGACTTAAAACTGGAATTCCTGGGCTCCGTTGCCTTTCAAAATGGAACTGGGAATGAGCCAGTTGAGTGGGAGACCCTACATGCCCCAGATATTCGACTGACATGCCACCCAGAGTCGACTTGTGTAGGTGAAAATATTGAAGGGATCATTTGATCTGACCGAAGAGAAAATTCTTTTCGTGCAATTAAAACAACGAAACGATGGCTACGGCTTTTACACAACATCTCACTGCTTGCACAGAGTATATTAAATAAATTGTGTGTATTAATAAAATACATATATTAATAATAAAGTATATAAAAACATACAGTTGACCTTGAGAGAGCCAAATATGGTTTGATTTCTTAATTAATAAACTGGATTAATAATGGATTACGATTCAGAGTATTTTTGGTTAATTTAAACTAATAAAATACAATAGTTATATTAAGATATATTTCGTTTCAACAAATAATTAGCTTTTTATGATTCTGTGTGCATTCATTAACCTGGCAGTTAACAGATGTCCTTTTTTGGTGCCCCCACTTCCATATCATAACAAAACCGTTTTCATCCGCATCATCCAGAACCTTTCCATGTGCGAAATTATAAACATATGTAAATGTTGAACCTTATTCAGTATCCGAATTTCGCCTCCATTCAGCCATTTAATAAGCCTAGTGCTGCCATTCTGTCTTTTTTCCGGACAAATCTGACCTTTTTTGAGCAATTGTTTTGTTAATTTCCCGTTCAAATTTAAAAAATTTTTCATTTTCCCAATTTCTAGCAAAAATTCAATTGTCATAACTGGTTAAACCATCTTATTTATTGAAATTAGTCGGAAAATTATGGGAATGGAAAGCAAATATTTCTAGCTGTGTGCTTTACGGCTGTGAACTGATATTTATTGTGAACTGATATTATTTATATTATATTTAAAATAAAAAACATTCCTGTCTCTTGTCTATTTCTTAAATGTCTCATCCATTTTTTCCATTTTGGCTTGGCCCATTTATCTCGTTTTTTAAATTTGTTGGCAGCACTGGATCTGCCGCAAAATATTTGAAAATAGCTCTTTAAGGCGAAAAGTTTAAATGCGAAATGCTGACAAATGCGTTTCGATTTCCATTCACAAAGGGGGTTCGAAGTTGGGTTTTCCATATATCTCAAAGTTGGAAATTAAATTAAATTTCTTTATTGGCACTTTTTTTCCTGCATTCGTTTCATTTCGTTTGCCACGCATATGCATATGCAAAATCCGAAGAGAGGGTGTCCTTCGGTGGGCGCAAGGGGGTGGCTCGAGGGTTGGGTGGCTGGATGGCTGGATGGCTGGCTGGATGGACAGCCAAAGCAATCAGCAGCAATAAATGATAAGCTTCGAGGCAACAAAGCCAAAACCGAAAGACGCACATGAGCACAAAGAGTCTAGATGGGTGGTTTCTGGGAGGCGGAAATTCCGATTTGGGGGAGGCTGAAGGCCGGGCAAAAGAACGTCTCAGATGCCGGAGAGCCCAAGAAACTGTCATCCACAGGAAAAGTGGCGAGGGGTAGCGAGGCAGTGGGAAATAGGCTTTCACCACTCGCTTTTCCTTGGTCAATATCTGAAAATCGGAAGAAGCGAGGGTGCTTGTCTGGGGCTACTTTGCAACAGATTTGCCGCTAACGAAGCGCACGATTTCCAATAATACCCAGAATGCGTCTGGGAGATGCGGATGCTATTCCTCCATACCCTCGATAACAATTGATCTGGGGTAGCCTTGCACCCTAATCATTATGCAGCAGAACGTGGGTATTATTAAATGTAATATGATATAGTATAATAAATATATATTATTAAAATAATATGATTGTTACCTATTGAAAATGTACAGGAATGTATTCCTTAGTCGAGCATTGGGGCATTCGTATATTTTTAAGAATCAGATTTTGTAACATAGTCTATATCTTTTGAAAGTTTATACTTTTTCCTCTTTTCTTTCTTTTTCGAAATATATTAGTAACATAGTAACCTAACCGCACTTATAATGTGATAATGAGGTTTATTAAATTCTAGATATCCTAATCTATACATCACCTAGGGTGAATGAAAGATAAACTTCCAAAGAAAAACATTTTTTAAAGCTTTACTAATAACTCAAACTATAGATAAAAAATTAAAGTAAACAAGAAAGGAAAGCTAACATCGGGCGGAGCCGAAGTTGATATACCCTTGCAGAATATTTTATAAATTATATTGTCCAAAATTATTCATATGATGTATTCTTAATACTCATAAAATGTCCCAACTTCCTAACTTTAAAAACACCAAAGTTATGTCATTTCCAATCGTTCAGTTATATGGCAGCTATAAGATATAGTCGGCCGATCCTTATGAAATTTGGTAGGTCGGATTGATTAGCCAAAAATAAAACCCATAGAAAATCCCAACTTCCTAACTTTAAAAACACCAAAGTTATGGCTTTTCCGATCAATCAGTTATATGGCGGCTATAGGATATAGTCGTCAGATCCTTATGAAATTTGGTAGGTCGGATTGATTAGCCAAAAATAAAACCCATAGAAAATCCCAACTTCCTAACTTTAAAAACACCAAAGTTATGGCTTTTCCGATCGTTCAGTTATATGGCAGCTATATGATATAGTGGCCCGATCCGGCTCGTTCCGACTTATATACTACCTGCAATAGAAATACAACTTTTGGGAAAGTTTCAAGCAGATAGCTTTAAAACTGAGGGACTAGTTTGCGTAGAAACGGACGGACAGACGGACAGACGGACAGACGGACAGACGGACAGACGGACGGACAGACGGACGGACAGACGGACAGACGGACATGGCTAGATCGACTCTCCTGGTGATGCTGATCAAGAATATATATACTTTATAGGGTCGGAAATGTCTCCTTCACTGCGTTGCAAACTTTTGACTGAAATTATAATACCCTCTGCAAGGGTATAAAAAAGGAAACCACTGAAAGTAAATTATAGGTAAGAGCTATACATTCATGCATTTATATTAGAACTTTGTTTTAACTTAAGGTTATCATTAAGTAAAGAAATAAATATACTATACTATATTGAATCAGGGTATCCAGATAGTCTTTTGAAGACATCCTCCCACATATGCGAATACAATCGCAGGGGGTGGGGTGGGTGGTGTGAGGGTAGCTCATAAAACGTACGCCAAATGGACACAAACACTCGTCGTCCCACTCCAGAAATGCGACTTGTTGGCTGGACTTGGCCGTAATGAGTTCCCTTGTGGCCGGACCGTATCGCCTTTTTATGGAGCCGCCCAAGGGGGCGGGGCAAGCGGTGGGAGGCGGTGGTGTCAAGGTGAAAGCCACTTAAAGCCAAGGGCAGGGCTCAACAATTTCCAGTTATCATGTGACAGTAATGAAGTGACAGACGGCAACAAGGAGATCCAAATATCCCGATGACAACTCGACCGCAAAGCCTGAAGTGTGAGGGGGATGGGGGGTGGGGGGGTTGGCTTAACTTTTCCCTTAAAGTCGTTTAAAGAGGCTTCAATTTCGACATTTGGCCAGGTTTCCCCTTTCCCTTCGCCTTCGCCCTGCGGTTCTTGCACAGCGGCCACATTAATTATTAATTGCAGAATAATTGCAAAATTGTGTTTGGTCAAGTTAATTTATGCAATAAGACCACCGCTTGCCCCGATCCACACTTTCCGCGTTTTAAAGTAGCCCGTTCACTCAATTTGCCACTCTTCATTCCGTGTAATTCCTCTGCTCATTTGGAGCAAGCGGCCTTTTCTTCTCTCTTTTTTTTTTGCTGTGTTTGGGCCCGGCTAATGAGCCACTGATGGTCATGAGCCGGCGACCCTGTCCCCAGACCTGCCCCGCCCCCCTACCAGTCCCGCCCCCTTCTGAGCCAGAGCAATTACTTAATCATTTGCCTAACGACCGAAAGGCAGGCGAAGGCAACAACAGCAGAAATTAGCAAAAATTAAGTGAGAGTTCAAGTGAATTTGGGGCTGTGAAAAGGGGGGGGGGGGTTTTATCCATGTGGCCGAATTTGTGGTAAATTGTAGTGCGGTTTTTCTAATTTTCAAATAAGTGCGGTAACGGCAGAAAAGTATGCTACATAAAATATGCAAATCTATCCTAGAGATACAAGAGTATCTGTGCAGTTGAGCCGACTTAAATTGCAATTGCAATCAATTCCAGCAGCAACTAGAATGTATAATATTGTATTGGCCTATTTATTTGTTTTAAAAGGTTTTCGTATTTGCAGCTGAATTGTTTTTATTATACAATATTAAAGAACTTAATGTACTCTTCAAACGCAAAAGTATAATTTACAAAATTTACTACAAAATTAAATTAATTCAGAAAACCGGTCGAAGCCACTTGCCAGCAATTTTAAATACGTATTTTGGACAACTGAGTAAATCATTTTATTTTCACTCAGTTGTCCAGGGAAAATACAAATTTAAAATTAGCAAACTGTAAGTTTTAAAATGAAACCGAATTTAAGCTAGAGGGAAAGTTTGCAAAACCATGTTTCTAACTTCTTCGTTTCTTAGTCAAAGGTATCAATGCTTTACTGAAGTTAAAGTTCACCTCATGCTCTTGCACGATTTCCTCTTCTGACATTTGTGCTTTTGTCACGTTTTGCGGTGCTTGTAACTTTGAAATATTTAAATCAAAATATGGGAAAACACACATACAAAAACCACTGCATACATTTACTATCTGATTGGGTCTGGTTAGTTGCTAGTCAAAAACAGAACGCATGGGGTGCAAAAATAATTTGTTGGCCACTGGCATTTTTTATTGCCCACCAAATAGAAATAAAAAGGTGTACATGTAATAAACCTGTGTTTAAAAACACAGATACGTTTAGTATTTAAGTCAGGCATTTGAGCTTGGCTTGAACTTAATATATTTAAAAATATTTGTTTGCTAATAAACAAAAAATATAAGATTAATAGATTAAGAGGATTCGATATTTCGCCGCTTTTCTTGTATGGTTTGGCATACTTATTCGCAAGCCTTCAATTTTCTGTTCGTATAAAGGAAGAATTCTGTCTGTTCTGGGCAGAGGGGGGAGGTGCAGAGGGGCGAGAAAATCAACATAAGCATTTTTGATATTTCAAATATTTATCATTTAAAATTCTTTGGACAGGCCATGGGTTCGCCTGGCAGAAAACAAGAGCACGCAGGATTGAGATGCTCTCGGCCTTTGGCCTGGCTTGTTATTATTATTATTCTTCTTCTCGGGCAAAGCTGAGTGTGCATCTGCATCTGCCTGTGCATCTGCGAGATACTGAGATACTGGGATGCTGAGATACTCGGTTTTGGTTGTGTGTATCTTATGGATTTCTGCTCGGGCCCAGGCAAGCATATAAATCTATTATCCTTTAATTTAGCCACAGAAATAATGAAGCATGTAAGAGTCTTTTGTGTATCTTTGTGCCTGTGTGTTTGTGTGCCACGCCCTCTGCGTTGCCCCCTTTCTTCTTTCCCCTTTCCCTTTTTCCTTTCTCCTTTCCCTTTTTCCCTTTCCCCCCCTGACACACATAAATTCAATCAACGGCAATTTGCTGGCAGAGTTGCAAAGGCGTCGACGTCCGCAAATGTGCAATTTATTTATTGTTACTACGGCAAAAGCCTCTCGCTGTTGTTTTTCTACCCAGTAATTTTGATTTCAGTTCCATTTGATCCTGGTTTTCGTTTGGAAGTGCATTTTCAATTTCATTTGTATTTTAGTGACATCATGTTTGGTTAGATGAAATTCTTCTAAATAGGTCAACAGCCAACATATTGTTTGAAATAACTTCGTTATTTCCCGGCTATAATCATTTTGAAATAGTGTTAAATCCGAGAAAATACCTAAATGGTTTATTTGGATATTAATGCTCTACGTATTACAAATTGCTAGCCAAAAGTATACATCTTATTGTTTGCTAATATTAAAGTACAAAGTTTGATTCATACTTATGTGATACTCGTTTTGCATTATATTTAAAAAATAATTTAATATCCTTCTACAAATCAAAGGATAATTAGGATTTTATTTTTTTAACAATTCAAGTGCAGTAAAGTGAAAGATACTTTAGAATATCTAATGATATACACATTTTTAAAATTCGATTAATGGAACTTACAAATTTTTTGGATTAAATGCCATCATGCAAGCAAATAGAGCTGTTTGTCTTAGCTTTCGCATCTCCCCATTTTCCCCAGGGTATTTTCCGACTCTCTTTGCTCGATTTAGGCCTTTCTCCTGCGTGTTGTTATATCTGCAAATTGAATTTTCATTTAGCATTTCTCCAGCTGCAACTTGCTCCCGCTGCAGGCAAACGGAAATGCAAATTTTCCCCGACCTCTAAGACCAAAAAAAGGGGCAGCAGCGCAGCGATGAAGACACAAAGCGACGACAAAGCCAGAGCGTCAAATTGGCAACACACATGCCGGCGAAAATGTGTGGCAGCATCTGGCTTGGCAGCTGCCTTAATTAGTTAATAAGAAAAGCGAGTTTCGCCGGCTTTTGAGCCATGCAGCCACGCATCCACGCACTTTCCCTCGAGGAAATTCGTTAAAAGACGATACTCGATACGCGATACGGGATTCAGTGGATCCACCAGCTCGTTTATTTCCAGGAGCGGCTAATCGCATCAGAGGGAATTATCCCGGCCAACGATTGATTTACGGGCCGGGACTCTAGCAAAAAATATCCATGGCGAAACTCTTTTTAAGCTGCTGCAATCTTGGGATGTTCGCAATCAATTCCGTTTGATACTGCCTGCTCCGATCCCAGCACCATTCCGCTGCCACGCCCACTCAATTGAGTTATGATTTATGGGCGGGCAACAGGTGAGGGCGGAGCAGCGGACCCGCAGTCCCACCAATGCTCGCCCAACCGGACACCTCCACTTCCGGAGCACACTGAGAGAAAATAGACCAGGCAACTGAAGTTTAATGTGCAACAAAAACAAGTCACCCGAAATTTAGAATGCGTTTTTAACCCAAAAAATGTTTCAATTTGTTTTGCCATATTTTCAAACTATATTTATATATTTATTTTATTTGATAATCAATGTAGATATATCCCAAATTCTAAAAAGCTCTGCACTTTTAGAACTTAGAGAATATTACATCCAAATGTGTTGGAGAAAAACAACAATGTGTGTTAATTTCCTTTGAAGAGAAACGGCCAAATTAACCCCCCAAAACCTTACATTACAATAAATGCAGATATTTCAAATTATAATATATTTAGTTTGTTATTAAATATGCAAATAATTAAAAATATACTTTCATGAGAATAACCAATTACCGCAGCTATTTTCGGGCCAGAAAACAAAGGAATTTAAAAGGTGATGAGTTTTGCCACTGAAAGTGACAAGTAAGTTGCTGTATACATGTATGACCAGAACTCTGTGAATATTTGTTCGAGTGCAGGCCACATCCGTCCGGTGCCACGCCCCCTTTGAGCCGCAGGCGTAAACTTTTCGCGCCTCTCGCGCCATCCTCGTAAACTGTCCCCCGACGTGGCAGTGGCACTTGGCATTCAGGACAGGACACTGCTCCACGGAGAGTCCACGTTGGCATGGGGATTGGGATGGGTGTGGGTGTGGGGATGGAGGATCTGCAGTCGGATTCGGAGACGGAGCGGGAGCTGGAGTCCCACTGCCAACTGATTAAAATGCGTTGCAGGACTGTAAAAGGAGCTGAGTCGACGTCGACTGCGCTGCCGGCGACGCTGCATTTGCATTTATATTGTTTTGACCCGAGCATTATTATCATTTCTTTTCGCCTGCTCTCATTCCCATTCGCAGCGCCACTTTGTGGACACGTAGTCCTCCTCCTCGTCCTCCTCCTCGTCCACCTCCCCCTCCACCTGCCCCTCCCCTGCCTCCTGCCCCGCCCACTGATCCTTGATTATGCCCCCGGCATAAAGCCAACTTTGGCCGCGGAAAGTTCGTCTTAGCGGGTGTTTTATGGCTCTTTTTGAACCCATTCAGTATGCCAAAACTTTGCGACGTCCTCAGCAACAGGGCTTCATAGCGAAATAGAGCACTAGATATAAGGATTATGCCCCAGGAGCGAAAGGATAGACTGATGAGTGCTTTTCAGGGGATTCTAAATGGCTAAATAATAACACATAATAGTTCTCATTTCTGATCTGCGCGTAAGTTATTAGCTGGAACATAATCAAAATAAATACATTTCTTTAAAGTCATTTTAATTTACGTAGTTTTAAAAAGTTCGATTTAATTGGGATTGAAGAAAGAAGAATTACAATAGATTTACGTTGGATGAGTTACATTTGATTACATTACTGTACTCATCAATTAGATGTCGATCAGTGCATTATTGGCCACGAAAATACTGATCACAGCCTCTGTGTTGGCTTAGTTTTACATCTAGTCTATATATATAGCTAATCATTACGGCAATCTGATAAGATTTCTAACAGATAGCCAAAAAATGTTGGTCACAGGGGAAATTTATTAGTTTACATTGATTACAACTTGATCTTTACTCACCAAAACAACTTGTTTGTTATCGTTTGATTGTCAGACGGGAATTTAATGTATTGCAGAGTATATCACCAAGGGCTTTTATCATTAAAACAATACTAATGTAGTTTAACTTTAGTTTTCAATAATAAATCTATTCTACAAGCGTTTTGGCAATCTCGTTTTATGTCTTTGGATAAATTATTATTTAAATGCAGATGTATAAATGCTTTTTATTATATTTTCTAGAAAGCTTTATAGACGATTCAAGAAGATGATCCAGAAAGTTTAATATTTTGTCACCAGTCCTGGCCTGTCACCAGTGTTTCACCACCAGTTTAGTGCTAATAATTTGAATGTTTAAGTGACCATTTCTTTGCAGGAAGCTCTCGGCATAGTTTCCCTTGTGGCAGCCACCGCGACACCAGCAGCCGAAGACGTTGCAAGAGCCCACGCCGCAAAAGGTGCCCACCAACGGCATTCCATTGGCGCAAATGGTGAGGGAACAACCATTTCGGGTCTTTTTGGCATTCACCTGTCCGCAGGTGCCTCCAATTACTATGAACTCCAGTTTCCCCACCACGTTGCAGCATTCGGCATTCGAGCCATCGAAGAGGGCCAGCCAAAGAATTGCGATGAGCAGGCAGGAAACCGAAAGTAGTCGCATCGTGGAACGCAAAAAAACTAATTGAAATCACTGCCAAATGATCGCTTTATATACACCAGCATATAGTATATTCCCGATTTATTACCTGCGATAAGGCAAAACTTTAATAAATTTAAACGCTTTCAAGGGCCCTAGAAAATCAAATATTTTAGTGATATAAGATTGTTCTTCCCAAACAATATTTGTATACCTTTGCAGAGGGTATTATAATTTCTTAAATAAGGTAAAATATTTTTGGGGCAGTTCATATATAACAAGAAAGGAAAGCTAACTTCGGGCGGAGCCGAAGTTGATATACCCTTGCAGAATACTCTGTAAATTATTTTCTCCAAAATTCATATGATGCATTCTTAATACTCATAAAAAATCCCAACTTCCTAACTTTAAAAACACCAAAGTTATAGCATTTCCAATCGTTCAGTTATATGGCGGCTATAGGATATAGTCGGCCGATCCTTATGAAATTTGGTAGGTTGGATTGATTGGCCAAATATAAAACCGATAGAAAATCCCAACTTCCTAACTTTACAAACACTAAGGTTATGGCATTTCCGATCAATCACTTATATGGCAGCTATAGGATATAGTCGGCCGATCCCGGCCGTTCCGACTTATATACTGCGTGCAAAGGAAAGAAGGGTGTGTGCAAAGTTTCAATTCGATATCTTTAAAACTGAGAGACTAGTTCGCGTAGAAACAGACAGACGGACAGACAGACGGACAGACGGACAGACGGACATGGCTATATCAACTCAGGAGGTGATCCTGATCAAGAATATATATACTTTATAGGGTCGGAGATGTCTCCTTCACTGCGTTGCACACTTTTGACCAAAATTATAATACCCTCTGCAAGGGTATAAAAAGTCATTATAGTTTTATTCTTATAGCTGCAAGGGTATATAATTTCGGCTTGCGGCCGTTAACATTCTTTATTGTTTGTATTGATTGTGGAATATCTTAATTGTTAATGCTTGTAATTGATTAGAATAAGTGGTCTGTGATTCGATTTTTTGAGTACACTGACGAGCAAAACTGTAACACCATTTTACAACTTGAAGTATACCCATTATATGTTTATTTAAAGTGTATTTTAACAGAGGCGACTATATATATTTATCAATCAAACAACTTATATATATTTATTTGAATCGTTATCGATTCCATTGCTATATAGCTTCCATAGGAACAACCTGAAAACCCATACAGACATCCGATAATACTTTGTATCTAGTTTTTAAGGCAAAGATGGAAACTCATATAGAAATCTTGTCTTGTCCATGTTTTTGAAATACTAGAAATGTATAAAGTTAAATACACCTTGAAATACCATTGTCAATTGTCTAACACTAAAAGTGGAAAGGACTTAATCGATATTTGAATTTTTCCAACACCATTCAAAACTAAAGCCCAGTCACCTGATTTTTTTTTGTGTCTAATAAATCGTCCGGTTGTTAACAAGTTTCTACATTTGTATTCTGACAACAAAATAATTTATTTTTTTTAATTTTAAACCTACCTTCAGCCTTTTTGTGAGTACCAAAACATCAACGAAAATGTTGTTCATTAGGATAATCTCGATCCTGCAGCGAATATGATTGAGCCAAATTGTGACGGAGATGCCACAAAAGTGCCCTACGAGGCAGTCCCTTCCTCGTGGACGCTGTCCCTCGTCGACCTCCGCAATTGGATGACCCTTGTCGACAAGCATGTCCACAAGCAGATCACTCGCCCGGGTGACGAGGAGCGGGATCCGGTGCCGGACAAGGCCCGGGTGTCCATCCGGTACAGGGCCTACTGGGAGGGCCACGAGCGCCCCTTCGAGGCCTCCAGGCTGCGGGAGTTCGAGACTGGTGGCCACATGGTGCTCAAGGGCCTGGAGGCCGCCGTTCGCACGATGCGACCCTACGAGCAGGCGGAATTCGTGATATCCCACGAGCTGCTCTACGGCGAGCTGGGCTGCCTGCCCCTCATTCAGCCCATGGCGAATGGGCTGTTCCAGGTGGAGGTCATCGACTACTGGCCTATCAAGCAGACCGAGAGGTGGCGCAACGAGTTCAACGATATCTATCCGGAGGCCAGGGAACTGCACCGGCAGGGCAGGATGTGGGTGAGGCGCTTGCAGCTACCCAATGCGGTGAGTGTCCTTCGGAAGGGCATCGAATCCTTGAGCAGCTGCCGGGTCAACAGTGCCGAGGAGCACCGCCAGCGGGCCGACCAGCTGGTCCTCCTCTATCAAGGCCTGATGGTGTGCTTCAATGGCATGGGCAGGCCGAATGCCGCCTGCGAGGTGATGAAGAAGGTGCGCCGTCTCACCGGGAACAATCCCCCCTGGAGGACGCTCTGCCAGGAGGGAAGGGCCCTCTTCACCTTGGGACACTTCGAGCGGGCCCACAATGCCTTTTCGGAGGCGCAGAAAATGCAGCCGAACAACTACCTCATCCGGGATGAGATCATCAACATCAGCAAGTGGATAACCGTTCCCGAGGCGTCCAAGCTACCCTTTGGATACGTCCAATGAGTCGCTGAAGATTGATCCATTGAGAAAGACGAGCCTTTCGAAATAAGACACTAAATCTCAAAAAAATATGTTCTAGTCATAAAGAATTATTCTTGGCATATATTTGTACTAATTTAATAAATTTTACTCATTTTAATATTGCTCTAAAATTCAGCTCAATTTATAATTATTTTGCTATTAAAATAAATAGTTTATATTTGTTCAGTGCAAATATATGCAAGCTCCTCTTTTGTGAGCCTGTCTTGTCCTTTGCATACTGATTTGCTGTTTATTTTTCGAAACACTATTTTCTATTGCCCAGTACCAAATAAAAAATTGTTAGAAAATGTAGTATTTCGTTAGAACTAAAAAAAAGCAAATAATATCACAACGAATTTTCAATTCTGCGGCTAAATACAGTAGTGGTTTGTAGGTACGCTTCGTCACTACGTGGTTGGCCATCTACAGTTGCAAAAATGTAAAGAAAAATCGCTAGAGCATTTTTTGTTTTCAACTACCATATGTCAAGAATAGAAGATCCACCGATTTTGAGTTTAAAAAATGATTTTTAGGCTTCTTTCCCTTAACTCGCCGCCACCCACTTTGCGAGTTTTTCCCCAAAGATTTTCCCACCCGCCAGCATCCTTTTTGGTGGGCATAATCAGTGGCCCGCATCAAAATGGCGTCCACAACACAAAAAAATGGAGAGGAAATACAGTAAGAGGAAAATCGAAGGAAGACAACAAAAAATTCGAAGCGGACGTGGACGCTGACTGATTAGAAAAATGTTGTAAGACACAAGAAGCGGGCAAGAACCGAAATAAAATGAAATAAAACAAAATGAAAAGGCGAAACATTCGGGCGGAGAAAAAGAAGTTTCCGGGGGGCGACGAAATGAATAAAAAAGAAATTCATCAAATTTCGGGAGTATAGCAAAAACGATGTGGGGGGGAGGTAGGTTGAGGGGGGTTGACAGGAAGCGGCTTGTCAGCACGCGTACACCAAAAAAATATTGTTGAAAACAGTTAGCGAAACAATTTAATGATGAATGATGGTCAATGGCGAATTCCGTGCATTGTGTAGCGGAAGGAAGCCATCCCCAGAGGGGGAGGGGGGTGGAGGGGGTCCTTGGGGCATACCCTCACGACTGCCCACATCCAAGCAGCTCCCAGAAGCCCCAAGTCCTGGAACTTATTAAAAACTGTGTAAAAAGCGAACGACAATCCGGGGGAAACTTGTCATACGCCTTGAAAAGGATATTGTGATGGTATCTTTGGATGCCATTACAATGGCATTTGCTTCACTTTTATTGATCACTTTGAACTTACACATGATACGGCATTGAATACTGCTCAATGTAGGAAACCAATGAAATCAAATACTTGTATTACTTTAATATAATTTTATTGAAATACGCAAGGCTCTTGCGTCATATATAAAAATGTATAAGTTTATAAAAAGTCTTAAATCATATATTTTATATTTTCATAACAAACACAATCAGATTATAGAGGGCATTATATGGTTTTCAATGTTGTGTTTGTTTTAATTTAATATATATTTACCTCAAATCTTGCCTACACTTTCACTTAAGTTATTTAAACTTTCCATTATAAATATAACATTTTCATTTTCTCTTGTGTAAGATTTAAAATTTTTTTCTTCAATTATAATAAATTTGAAATATGAATTTCTCAGTTTTAATTTAATTATGAAGACCAAACTGGTGGTTTAATTCCAAAAAGTAATATAAAAATATATGTAAAATTTTCAAATATTTTTTAAGTTAAAATTTTATATTTATTCTACAGTTTAAATGGTCAAAATTGATTTTATTTTTATTATTTGAAAAATAATGCTTTTTTGAAATTGATTACATTTTATTTGGGTCCCTCGGGCATATTGTTGCCATTCTGACGTCCTCGGTTTGAATTAAAGAATAATTTGTTTGTATAGATCCGTCTTTTGTTATGATTTACTTTTTGTTTTCTTGCCCAATGAAAATCATCTATTAATTGCATTGCAATTTTGTTTGCCTCCCAAATGTTTTTCGGATCCTTACGTAGTACCGAAAGTTTCAAAGGTCCCCGAAGACCAGATATAAAAGCGTGTAGAAATCGTTTTTCAAAAACACATTCCTGAGTTTTTCGAAATACCAGATCTTCTTCTTGCCTCTCCAAAAGATCGAAACATGCACATCTTATTTTTGATATTTCTACATATAAGTGATAGATTTTCAGTCCGAAGCTTGGGATTTCTCGCAAGTCGTCCATTAGAGTATCCATATTTCTGGGGTCTGCAAAATTGTCTATTAGTGCCTTCTTTATTTCCTCCCAATTAAGCTTTGTTCGTTCCCTAATGAGCACTCTGTTGGCCTCCCCGACGATTTTCCTTCGAATAGCTCTCAATATAAAAACTGGGCAGTCCGTTTTATAAATGTTTTTCACGACGTTAATCACCATATCCTCAACACTGCCAATAAAGTCGGAGAGAGTATACTGATCGCCATCGAATGTCGGTAACAATTGAACCATATCTGGTATATCAATCTCCACCAGTATTTTCTGGGTATCCATTATGGGACATTCACTTTCAGTAGCCTTAGTGTCTTCCATTTGAATCTCTGTTTCTGGAGTATATTCTCGAAACGCCTGTGTATCCTGGTAAAAAAAGATTTGAACATTAACGACTGAATGAGTTGGATGTCACTATATATATATATTTTTTTTGGTGATAGAATTTTTAAGATATTTTTATTTTCCAAAGAATGGAATTTGTTTTTTGAGTATTATTTTTGTGTGTCTCTTATTTTCTCTGGCTTGTTTTCTATTTCACTAGCACTAGTTATCGTATTTAATTTGTTGCACTCACTTGGTGATATTAAAATATCTCTATTATTATTTCATTCTTCGAGTTATTTGAAGATCGGGCCTTTTAAGAATTTAAATAAGAACTGTCGCGGTAGAGTGCCAGATCGTAAGTGAAGTTATTTCCAATGAACAACTGTCAAGTAAGCTCCTGCGCTTGAAATCTGCTCTTATATACGCATAGGAACATATGTACACTGAATATGTAAACATTTCGGGTTCGGATTTGCTGACGAGTCCCCTGAAGTGCGAGGAATATCCGGCCCTTATGTTTGTGTCGAGTTGCCGCATCGACATAACTGAGCCAAAAACACCCAAGAGTACATGCCCATTAGAATTTTCGGTTGGGGGAGCACTTGTGGTAACCCGAGGAGCCTGTCGATCTTGGACCATCAACTTCTATCGGAATAAGTAGATATTCTCGAGTTGCGATCGTAAATAATTTCTTGGACATGAGCACGTAACAATAAAAGCGTAACTGAAGGATTTCGATTTCGAGGCAAAATATGAAATTGAAATTCTTTTCCGTTGAAAAATATATATTATTAATTCCAGTTTGGTTGTCTTTCGAAAAATCGCATGGGAGTCTGCTCGATGCCGAATGCGAATCATTATGCGGGACTTAAAATGGCATTTATCACATTGACAAACTCCTGCTCCCCATTACTTATCCGAACCTCCTCCGCCTTCGAATCCGATTCCGATTCCGATTTCGATTCGGTATCAGTCATTCGTCATTCGTTCATTTGGCAATCAGAAATGAATTTTTTGCCATCTCCGCTGTGTTCTGTTCGGCTTTGTTTGTTGTTTTGCAGCCCCGTCTGCGATTCCTGTCAATTGGCATTTGTCAAATGACTTTGGCTCCCGAGTACAGTTGCCTCCGCAGCGCCTTTCTCCTACGTCACGCCACGATAAGGCTTCTATATATCTATAATATATATATATATAAATACATATATATAGAGGCAGAGGACCCAGAGAACAGAGCCTGACAAGCTGCCAAATCTTTTGGCATATCATTTGAATTTGTGCGAATTTGGAATTGCCATTTCCTGCTGGTCATTTATCTGGGCCTAATGCGCTCCATGACAAGCGAAAGCATTGCTTTGCCATCCCATATCCCATACCCCATACCCCATTCCATTCCAACCCATCCCAATCCGACATCCCTGCCCCCGATGATTAACAGGTTTCCGAGCTCCTCCGAACTGATTGTTGTGGATGCCGCCAATGCCACAGCCAATGCCACTGCCAATGCCACATCCAATGCCAATGCCGAGGCACTTAAGTAGCTCTGTTCGGAGAGTAAGGCGATCCCATAAACTCGGCCAGAGCCAATTAAGCAGCACGGAGAAAAATAGCTCTTCAATTTGCTCATATTTCAAAATTAAAATTTTCACTGAACACCAACATCTTTTATTCTGTCTTGTTTAAAGAAACCAAAACATTTTGCATACAAAATTAAACTACACTCAGAACTAATAATAGTTTATTGGAATATTTTAAGAACACTTAAAAGTACCAGCTAACTATGCAAATAATTGATGGTTTATTAATCAGATTTAAAGGAAAACAGCATTTCAAGTCTTATTTTTCCCAAAGATAAAAATCGAATTAGACTAAATGTACTTTGTTTTTCTCTCTCTGCAGACAATTGCGAGAGGAGAGTGACCAAAGGATGCCCAACAGGATCCCACGGCTCCTTGGAGGTGGGCTTGGGAAATGGCCTTGGGCGTATAATTTTATTGTGATGAACTGATAATGTGACATTATTGTAACTCATTTGTCAACAAATTACGGGCGCTTGAGGTGGGCGTGGTCCTGTCCCGAGCCTATGTATCAATCAGTGTGCACAAGGATATGCTTCCCCCTGGGTGGGCCATCCGCCATCCGCCACCCAACACCCCACACCCCACACCACCCACCTCCCCGCGCACACCCATACATAATAAATGAATCGTGCATGCATTGGAAAAGATCAAAAGTGTCAATAAAACAAAGGCAGACAAACAAAACCCAAAGCGAACTGAAACGAACCCCAAAGGAGAAAACAAACATGGGGCGAGCGGAATGGAGCCGGGCCAAATGACAAAAGTGGCAAACGTGGCATAAATTACACAACCACCACTCACTTGTGCAGCTAGTTAGGGAAAATAAAAACAGGAAACAAGAGCTGGCAGCGGGATTCGAATTTAGTAATACCCCGTAGGGCGGAAAATGCCCACACACATTAAATAGTTATATAAACTGATATGATATCAAAATTCGATATAATAAATATTTATATTCAAACATTTCAATTTGATCTTTTTGAAAATATTCTTTTTAAATTATATTTTTAAATCAACATGATATTTGTTAGTATAATTTGATAATCTGAGATATGATCAAAAAGATATAATTAGTGTTCCAAGTGATATGAAATACTTTGTGTAAAAGGCAACTAAATGTTATAATATGATTAAATTTTGAAAGATTTTTTTTTGTTTTTGAATTTTTGGGCAATTATTCCTCTTTTCTATTTAAATTTTTTAGATTTTTAAGTTACAAGTTTCGGGTTTATTATTCAAATTTAAATGTATAATATATGAAAACTATGCAAAACATAAATTGACAGAGGTGAGTTACTGTTTTTTAATTCAAACTAACTGTTATATCAGTTTAGTCGGAAAACCCCCTGCTTTCCAACTCCAGTTCGATATTTAGAGGGTATCGAAACACAGGACATCGGGCGAACAGCGAAATCCCCGCTTAACAAGTGGTCTCCAATGATGCGCGATAGAAGTTCACATGGCCAGCGAGAATACTATGGGAATAGGAATTGAAATAGGAAAAAGGAAAAAGGACACCACCCCGCCCACATTTGACAAAGTAAATCAAGGAAAATTAAATGAATTATTGCCGCAATAAATGTGGGCGAATGGCAATATAAATTGTGTATGTCGCCACTTGGAAAATACCAAAAGAAATGCCAAACTCGAGATGGAGACGCAGATGAAGATGGCTAAGAAAGTGAGGGGATTGCAGATGGAGATAGAGGAAAATGGAATGGAGCACTGTGACCAAGGACACAATTCCGATATATATCAGTCCACAAAAAACAAAGGCCAACACTTTTAAAGATCCACACAAGTTTTAAATGCCACTTCTTTTAAGGGCTTTCTAAGTCTAGCATAAATTCAATGCATTAATCTTTGAACAAAAATATATAATTTATATTAGTTAATAGGATTACTATCATTACGTAAGTGTTGTCTTTGCATAAACAACAAATACTTAATTGCAACAAAAATTAATTTTCAGCTTTAGCAAATAATTTGATATTTACCTCAACTTTCTTTATTGTTTCTTACAACTGACTGGTCAAAGAAGCTTAAGTAAATTGAATTATTTCCATTGACACCTTGGCTATCCTTTAATTGTTTTGCTAAAGATATATATATATATATATGTATTTCTGAGGATGTTAAAGTTATGCGTATGTCATAATCAGCAATAGGCCCAAGGCTTAAACAATATAAACCTTGTTCTATCTTCAAATCTCCCTTTATGACTCCCACTTCAGGCTAGACCATTTTCCACGTTTTTTTCTATATAAAGCATTTTTTATTTGCCATTTGGACTTTGATTTATTTCAATTGCTTATAATTTCCCGCACGAGTTTCCCACTCTCCTCCTTTTTTTTTTGTTGGGTGGTCGCGCATAAGTAGAAATAAATAAAAATAGATTAATGGCCAGCTCGAGTATCCACACAATAAATTCCAATGGGGCTGGAAAAAGGCTAAACTATTTGCTTTGGTTGTTATACACGGGGAGAAAACAGTGTGAAGAGGAATTAATTGATATGAAAAGTAGAATTTCGATTTAATACAATAAAAAATGAATTTTAGATAATAATGCTGCTTGTTATTGTTTATGTTGATTAACAAATTCATAGGGAAATATAAAATAAGGTACTTTTTTATGGATTTAACTTTTGATAATGTTGGAAACATATACATATTTTATTTTCTGTGTACCCCATTCAGTCACAAGTTGAATGCTACAGTTATGGTTCATTTAGCCGTATCAGATTCTGAGCTGTGACACAATTTTTTCAACGCCCTTATTGCATCGCAACGGAATCGCTCCGTCAGGAGCCTGCCACGCCCCCGTCCGTCCGTTCGCCGCCCCCTCGCCCCCCTTCCCCTCCACCCCCTTGACTGACTGACTGACAACAAAGCAATGCTAACAAAATATAACAATAACAACAGGAAGAGGAACAACAACGAAAGCTTTTAAGGCCGCATACATTTTTAATGAAACGAAATGCGGCCATTAAACATTCCAGAGACTGACTTCGGAGACGCTGCTGTCAAGGCATCCTGCCTGCAGCCCCCCTACCCTCCCCACCCCACCCCCCTTCACTTCCTCTTCCTCTTCCTGTTGGCCCTGCGCCCATGGCCAATGTCCCGTCCCCTCCCCTCTCATCCCCTCGCCCAGCCACTCCTGCCTTTAGCAACAATTTAAACTTTTATTAATTTTACATACACAACATCCACACCGATCCTGCACCCGCCATTGTTGTGGCGGGTTATTAAAAAACAAGCTGCCTGAAAATCTTTTCTTAAATTAATATTTCTTTGTACGAGTGAAAGCTGCTGCTGCTGCTGCACGAACAAAAAAAAAAAAAAAAAACGAAACAAGAGAAGAAAAGTCGGGGAAAATCGAAACTGAAACTGAAAAATGAAGGAACGGAAGCTGGCCGACGACTTCCCGTTCCGTCGCCTTTGAAGCGGCTCTCCATTTATTTTCCCCACCTCAACTGCTCACAACTGAACTCTGAAGGGGGAGGGGGGGGCGTATACTTAATGTTAAGTCAACTCCAGAGGGGGGAAACATCTGTAATTGGAAGACTACGGGTAATTCTTTTCTATACGCACATTTCGGGCTTAACATTTTCAACTTTCGTTTGAAGTCGCACATGCAAAGAAGTTATGCTGATGAGTGGGATGAAATGAAACTGCTGAGGAGACCATTTTCCAGGCGACCTTTATTCGGTTCGAGGGTATTAAGCATCGCGAAATTAGAATAAGAAAAATTATGAGAAATCTGGACATGCTTTTCAGTGATTAAGCTTTTCATTTTTCGTTAGTTTGA